GGCAGGCAGGCAGGAAGGCAGGTAGGCAGGTAGGTAGGCAGGTAGGAAGGAAGGAAGGAGGTCGGTAGGTAGGTAGGTGGCAGGTAGGCAGGTAGGCAGGAAGGCAGGAAGGTAGGCAGGTAGGTGGGGAGTTAGATAGGTAGGTGAGTAGGGTGGGTAAGCAGGTAGGATAGGCAGGCAGCCAGTATGAGGTAGCTAGGCACGCAAATGGGTCAGTAGGTAGGTGGGTAGGTAGGTGTAGGCAGGTAGGGGTAGGTAGGCGGGTAAGGGGCAGGAGGCAGGGTGGAAGGTAGTTAGGCGGGTGGGTTTGTCGGTGGGTGGGTACGCAGGTAGGCAGGTAAGTGGGTAGGTTCGGCAGGCAGAGGCAGGTAGGCGTAAGGTAGGTGTAGGTAGAGTGGATAGGTTGGTAGGCAGCAGCAATTACACCAATTGTCGCTTGAGTTCGAAGTATACAAGGGAAGGGTCTAGTTAGAAGTTTCGTCAGGCCCAAATCCCTAGCCGTGAAATTGTGAAATCTTAGATGCTTACTATAGGATCTCAGCGCTGAGGCAGGCACAACTATCAGAAGAAGCTTCATGCTGATGATCATGCTCTCCTGCACAGACCAATACATGCCAGCAAGGTTGTGCAGGCATTGCCGGGGAAGCTATGTCACAAGAATCCCAACAGCAAAGAGCAGGCACTGACAGTATCCTCAGGTCCAGTAAGCTCCAGTGAGGAATGGTCGCTTGGAACGAGGCTATGAAGCTGAAGCTAACAAGAAAGATAACCCGCTCCTGATGCGGCTGAACATTGCATAGAAAGCTTCCACGAGAAGCTAACAAACGTTACGAAACATCGAGTCGAGATTGAGGTATTCGTATAGGCACTACAGAGCTTCAGGGCAACAAGAGATTGAAGGACGGATTGACGGCTGAAGACAATTCGGGTATGTATGCATAGTTGACTTTGATTCAGGAAGGTTTACTCGCATGCTGCCCCGTCAGGATGTGCGGTACAGCTCTTGCACAGTGCCGACTGTACACCTAAGGCAAGAACTGCGAACCTTGACTCTACGTCTCGAATGTGGCTTCATGCGCGAAAGACTTGCGAACACCACGGCATCAGGGGGCTTACCAGGTAGGGTCCACACATTGTGTCAGAAATACGATGACGAGAGCCTCCATGCAGGGCGGCCTTTATGGCAGTGTGCCCTTTACCCGAACGTCTCCATACCGTGGACCCGTTGTAGAACCCTGTCCCTGCAAAATCAGAATAAAGCCCACTACCGAGCTGCCTGCCTCTGCATCGGGGTCTAACTCCTTCCAGTAGGCCGGCATGCCGAAGGTGGTCTGAGTGACACGCCAATTTAAGGTTCAAGGTTTCGAGATTAGCCTACGTTCTATGATCTAGTTTACTAGGGGGTTTATGCTTAACACACGAGGAGCTGCAAACTAACATGGGCTGTAGACCCAAATTCATGCTTTAGGACCGTGGGTGGACATTCAAGGCTGTGCAGAGAGTTCACACGTTGGTACTTTGCCAGACCGTTGGGGGAGTCTAGTCGCCCATGACCTCCATACCAGGAACACGTTCCACTAACACCCGCCGCTCGAGGGCTAAAGAAGGAGGTACGGCATACGCATCCCAACCCTTCCGGGCTTGGACTTACGTATACGAGCGTCCGAAGTTCGGCACGAATTTCAATATCGTTAAGATACGGCTATCGCAGATCGCATGGATCATGACCAAGTTCGTGTCGGTGCCCGGTACGGATGAAAACCCAGAAATATCTTGATTGCGAGACAGGCAGCGCAGAAGGTCAACCAGAACTGGAGAACGACCTTAGGCGGACGCTGAAAGGAATTGACCAGCGTATGGTGAAGTGAAGGCTGTGCTCCAGGCCGTGAACACTGTGGCCTACTTCGAACAGAAGGCCCTATGGTTGGTCTGCTGATTAGGGGTTCAGGGTGCGAGGAGATTTCTTGAATTGAGGCTTTTTGTGGTTGGTCTGAGTCTTGCTGGTGCACGGCGGAGAGATTCTTGGAATCAGATCCTGTAGGCTTCGCCTCGGGTCGGGGTCGACACACACTGAAACACATCGCCCCCTAAACCCTAAACCCTAAACCCTAAACCTAAAACCCTAAACCCAACTCAACAGGTTAAGCCAACTGCTAACTACGACACTTCCATGAGAGCCCGGAGAGACCCCGAGCCCTCCATGTGTCCTATAGGAAAATACAAAAGCCCGCACCACGGTACCTGCAAAGTCAGAGATGTGGCCTGAAGGCTCCAACAAGGTCGCCCCTAAAGACCTCTTATAAATCCATATAGATCCCATATACATCCCCATAGGTTCCTTTTGAATGACTATAAAAGGCAAGCCACAGCTTCCCAAAAGTTCCGGGAAAGAACATAAATGCGTGGATCTGTACACAGCAAGACCAGGTAGCTGAGGCAGCGGCCAGAGGTATGCAAAAGATGAACCTGACAGCGCTGAAGGCATGGCAGGGGTTTCATAAGTGTTACTACAAGCGTTACTTATGAGAGGGTCCAGGTTGCCCAAATACTTAGATCAAGGCTCCGTCCAAGTAGTCACGTCGTACTGACAAGGGTAGTGAGAATTTCTCAAAGCTTTCGTGCCCATACTTGAATGTCTCCCAGACCCAAAGACACCTTCAAGTTAGTCAACGGCAGTCGCACAACTTTCGGAGCCAAGCTTCAATCAAAACACCTCCTACCGCAAAACAGGCTCGGAGTGCAACATCGATATGTCTTGAACTGTCTGTATGTAAGCAAGCACATAAACGCAAACTTTCTCACTCCGTCTGTATATATATATATACATATATGTAACACATGTATACATACATACACACGTTTATATACACATATATGTACATAGAAAGAAAATCAGAGTGTGTGTATAGAAAGAATGAACTGAACGCTCGACACAACAGCCAGGTACATAGGTAGATAGATTGGTAGATGGATATGCCGGCAGATAAGTAGACCGACAGGTAGATAGCTAAGTGGATAAATTGCTAGAGAGGTAAGTAGGTAGATAGGCAGACAAATAGATAGCTAGGTAAATAGATAGATAGATCGATAGATANNAGATAGACAGATAGACGGATAGATAGTAATATATCAAATTACATGGTTGGGGGGGCCGCTGGCCTTGATCCAGATTAGTTCTGGGCATTGGCGTTTGATCGTGCTTCACCCTCAAATCATCTACGTGTTAGTGGCATCGTTTCTTTGCAGTTTGCGGCATTCCTAATTCTTATGCATTATGTTACCAACACGAACAAAACCTTTTCGGTAAATTACAAGCATTGGTTGACCATTACTACTAGCAACATTGGATATGGTTAGTATATAGTATCATGAAGATGCGTCTTACTGTCGTGATACTTGTCGAAGGGACTTTCAGGACGAACGAGACCGACATACACGACAGGAACAATTCGTCTGGGCGATCCGTTCTGCTTCGGAAGAAAGTGTCGACTTTGGGCATTGGAGTCTCGCGACGACAGGTGTCTCTGCAAAATCACAGGTCAAGCTCAGGTGTGAGACTGCCACTTGCAAAGATTCTGAGTCTAGTCTCCAGCCAACTGGCTGATGCCGGCTTGGCGGTTTCCGGTAGGTCCAGGGGGGGGGGGGG